TTTTAAACTTGCAGTTTAAGCTTTTTCCACTTTCCTCATTCAGATACCTAATTAAATGGAGCCATTTAGTTGATTTGTGTTTATTTTCATCCAGAATTCAATTAAATTTCTTCCAGCTGAACAAGAGCCATTTGAGTCTTAAACCAGGTCCAGGTGACAGTGAAAATAGGAATAACAAGTGAAAGAATATGTTTTTTTCAGTCTTTGGGAGATGTGTGGGTCTAGCTTCCTCACTGTGACTTAAACAGGGCCATGTTTTAAGGGACATCACCCACAGGAAGAGGCTGGAGAGTAGGGGTTAGAGTTAAGCTGCCTGGGTTTGAATCTCAAATTTTATTATTTTTTTTCTTTTCCAGCACTATGAATTTCAATTTTCCACCGTTTACTTGCTTGTGTATCCTTGGGCAAGTTACTTAAATCTTTTAAACCTCGGGTTCAACTATAAAATGGGGCTTAATAATATATCTGCTTGGGGTTGTGAGGGTACAGTGGGATAATCACATAGAGCCCACAGCATAATGCTCGGCACACGTTTGCTCGATGAATGTTGACAATCTTTCTTGTATTAGTGTTGTCAGTACTTATGTATGTATTGTTTACCTTGATCCCTTAATCTATAACAATATTGGCATTAGGTAACTGATTTTAAAATCTCTGGTTACTGTGGTAGGCAGTTAGACAGACATGAACAGAGCAAGGGCAATGAGCCAGGTGCAGAAGGTCACCAGGGTGGAAAGCCCTGGGTGCCTAGCAATGGACAAAACGAGGACCTTGCCCCCGGGGTGACCTTTCCTCTCCCAGCATATCACTGGTCGTGGAGTTTAGACCCCCTGACTTTTCATATTGTTGGTCATGAGATTGGGACCCTGCCCTGACCTTTCCTCCCCTGGCATGTTGCTAGTCATGTGGGTTAGACCCCCTTAGAGTGGGAGTGAACAAGGAGGCCTGAGAATAGCCCTTAAGCATTAAGCCCTTAAGCATTAAGCCCTCAAGACAAGGAGGTTGTCTTGATCAAATACATCTAGGCCTCAGCTGTGTTTCAGCTCCTGGCCCAGAAAGGCAGCAAAACCAGACAAGTGACACCACAGCTGACATCAGGACCAGATGCATTGGCGATGACCAATCAGTAGAGATCACGACCCTTAAAGGACAAGCTTGAAAAGCTGACAGATATTCTGTTGGTCCTCCCCTGAGACTTTCAGATAAATACCCTCAAGACTGAGGACTCAGTGTCGCTCTGTTTAGGGAGCACGCCAGTGCCTTTCCCTACCCCTTTCCTTCAGTCAGTTTTCCTTGCCTCTCTTTCTCTCCTAAAGCTCTAAGGGCCCTTCTTTTGCCTCTGTAACTTGTTTCCTGAGCCCATTTCTTCTACGGTTCACCTCTACTACCTCTGTAACTTTCTAAATAAATTTTCTCTTATAGTTTGAGTCTTGGCTTTGAATTCTTTCTTAGCCAGAACTCAAATACTGAGGTTGCTGAACTGAGATCCAGTCTGACGCCACTGATCTAACATCTGATGCCGTTTCACCGCCAACATTATTGTACATTTGAGTTCATAAAATTTTAAGTTGACATGGTAAAAACCACCATAAGCAAAGTCAAAAGACAAATGACATACTGGGGGAAAAATATATTTGCAATTTATAACACAAAGGGTTCATTTTCCTAATATAGAACTACTTTTAGAACTACTAAAAAAAAAAAAAAAAAA